CACATCTAAATAAAAAGTATGGCACCTAGATGAGTCGCAACTTATGCAGGTGCTCAGAACATCAGTCAGTGATACCGTGTTTCGGTTCCACCGAAAAATCGTTTTACTCCCTTGATCTCTATGAATTTCTTTACGAAAGATACGAACAGGGGTAGGTTACGTCTGTAATAAAGAGTCCTTCCACTTTCTCACCTGCTTGTTTGTTTGTTTTAATGGTAAGAGACTTTCAAAACAGACTTTCAAAAAGACTCCACTAAATCACGTCATAGAGAGATGCAAATTTCTTTAAAGAAACTTTTCAACACCTTGAGGTTTGATAATTTATTTTGATGTTGTAACAGGTGGCTCACACGGACTTTATTCAAAAGACTTTGTTCAGTTTTCACTTGCATACATCAAAGGCTGAAACTAAGCTATATTGGTCTTTTTACTTTTCAACTTTAAAACTAAAAATATAATGTTAGTGAGGAAAAAATGTTCAGGAAAATAAAGTAGAATTATTTCTTTTTATGGCCGTTTTGTCTGAAAAGAAAAGAAGCGCTTATAAACGTAGAAATATAGGAAGGAAAGGAAGGCAGTGAATTTATTATATAAATCAATTTTTAGGAAACAAAGTTGAAAAAAAGTTAGTAATGAATACTGCAACCCTGATTAGTTAAGGCTATGACGTGCCCCAACTCTTCATCAAAATGACTCGACAGTTGGCTGTATGGCAGTAGCACGTGTCAAGTGGTCCACAACGGATAACTCAGTGCAGCCTCCTTTTGAAGTGGATACAGGAGAAAGACAAGGCGGCCTAGTATCAACAACGATGATATTACCAACTGTGGTAGACTTGATTATGCAGCAAACTGCGTATGTGGGAAGGCATAAGACAGCAATGCACTGGACAGACCGATATGACGATTCTAGAAGACGTGGATTTCGCACGTGGATGATTTATGTTTAATGATACATAAACTGGAAGACTCGAAGACAGGCGAAAAGCAACAAACTGGCTGAAGAAGCAACCAGTGAAAACCAGTAGACTTCAAGTGAACACAGAGAAGGCTGATGTGATTAATATAACCAACCAACGAGCCAGTATCAGCAACAACAACAACAACCAGCACCAATCACCATTAACGGGAGAAACTTGGAAGAGGTTACTTTCTTCACTTATCCAGCTGTGCATAGTCGTTTCAAACACAGGTGGACACCACGGATGGTGATGTGAAAGCCAGAATGGGGAAGGCAAGACACATGTTCAATACTCTGAAATCAGGTTAGAAATCTTCTGCACTCCATCGAAGCATAAACAACGAGATTCGGATTCAATTTAACATACTTATTAAGTCAGTCAGTCAGATACTTGGACAGCGCACGTTACGAAGAGCATTTCCAACAGACCACTGAAGACTTTTGTCAACAGCTGTGTTCTCTGGTTCTATATTGAATACCAGATGGTCAGCGTGAAGTAGTTAGCAAACAGAAGGTATGGGAACAAGCCAACGAAGAACCTTTGACCGAAGAAATATGTCGGAGAGAATGGAGATTGATGGAACACACGCCACTGAGTAGACCGTCGAACAGCATCGCGATCTATGCAGGCCATCACTCGACTGGTTTCCGAATGGGAAAGGAGGAGTTGGACTTAGTTGGTCCGAGGGTGAAATAGAGGATATCGTTTGTGGAGGAGATGAGAGATTATGTTCCACTCGGAACCCAAGGGAACAATAACAATAATGAAGTCAATGTCCTCAGCCTAGAAAGATATCTGCTAACGTGTTCATCTATGAACTCGAAAAAGAGAAAAAAGTGAGAGAATTCATCAGTGATGGGTTACAATTAACGAAAAAGAAGAAATTCGAGGCAAGCTAATATGAGAAATAGCATATTTTACCTAACTGTGTAGAAAGATACTTATATTATCTAGGTTATATATATATATATATATATATATATATCAGTTAAAATATATATGTTCTGGCAATGTTGTGTTCTCAAATATCACACAAATATCGGGCATAGATTATAATTCAGTACTATTTATAGTTTATAAATAAGAATTTAGGAGGACAATAGCGACAATAGAACACTCGCTCATACACACAAACGCACACAGACACACAGAAACATACTCAAACAGCGACGAAGGAGAATTGGTTAATGAAATTCATTAACATTAATGTTTAATAATGAGCAATAACACAAAGACGAATGATGATGATGATGGTGATAAGAAAAATAATAAGACAAACGTAATTTGCATCAATTCTAATAGAATAATAACAACATTAATCACTCCATAATTTATTCACCTTCATCTTAAACACACAGAGACACCCAACGAAGAAAGAGAGAGAGAGTATAGAAGCATACATGCACGTCTACATACAATTCCCGTCATCTCTGGCGTAGACATACTGATCAGTAGTTCATTTCAGTTTTCCTACATGGCTGACTGGCTGTGAGTGAAACACGACAGCTATTGATGAAGGTGGGAGCCATGAAAATGCCGGTCAGCTAGCTCTCCTCATCATACGTATCCATCTGCGTTAGATTGAGTGGTAAGTGTAATAGAGTGAGTAATATTGAGTTGGTGAGACATCGGTCGACTGAGTGCTAGGTAAGGATGAGGAGAAGTATTCAATCTGTTGACGAGGCTGTAGAGAGGTTACATCCACTGAGTGAGGTGGTTGGGACATGTGTTACTCATGCATGCATCCCTAGCCATCCATCCATCGATCCATCGATCGCCTTCCTCGACTGACGGGCAATGTTAGCTTAGCTGACATAGAATTGATGGATGGATCAGATTGAAAAAGAACTAGTTATCCGGCCAGCTAACCAGCACGTGGCGGTGGTCAGATGGAAACATATCTGGTTTCATCAGTTAGTCAGTCAGTTTAAGCCAAACAGGCAGCCAGCCACAAACGGGGATGGTGACTGGCTTCCTGACTGACTGGTTGGTTGGCAACCTCGGGATGTATGGTAAAGAAGAATGAAGACTGGAGACAATTCGAGGTGATGTGGCTGCCTCGAAATCCTCGTTCTCGATGACAGCACTGACGCATTGATTCACTAACTGTGATTTGTCATATCGAATAAAACTCTATTCTTCTTCCATAAAATTATTCTTTTCCCTCACACTGGAGTTTACTACCTCTCTTCCTCATGAATCTCTTATTACTCTCTTCTCTTGCTTCGTGTGCTACATGGAGGGCCACTTAGTGAACCAGGTGTCAGTGGTCTGAACGGTCTACGAGCTAGCGCTATTGTAACCAGGAGGTTTTGGTTTCTGCACAACCCTGTCGGTGGGTCCATACTTATGAAGAGTAAACCCAAAGCCTGGGACAAAAAAGCTGTCTGACAGTAATCGCATTGGTGCTTTTCCAATGGTTCTTTAACTGGTGTCAACTTGTGACCAACCTACCTGTAACCAATCAAATCCCTGTAAACCTACACTTGACAATCGAATCGCGAAATATACTCACCATCCTATAACCCCCTCCCCAGCCACCTTACGATCGTCTCAATAATGCCCAAATGTTTTACCCAAGCGTGAAGACACTACAACCTTAAAGATAGGCAACTCCATTGACCATTCAGTGATGCAACAGCTCGACGGAACCAACTTGTACCCATCTCTGCTCAGTAAGATTGAAAGTAGTAAATACACACACAACTGATGAATTATTAATTCGATAATATACAATTTAGCAAAGCATTTATAATGAAACTACAACAAAAAGAAATATAAAGAAAGCAAATAAATTATTCATATTCAGTGAGAAATTGAAAATATCCGAGCTACATTATAATCATTTACTGGCCGAGTTAAACTTTAAGCACCAGTAAATACCACCAATGGGTCAATGAGTATTTTTCACGTAATTTTAAACATCTATTGCGCTTGATTCGAGTGATAAAATGCCTGCTCAAACGCAGTTACGTCTGAAATTTGCTGTGTAGACCGAGTTTTCCAGTATTGCTTAGGTAGATAGATGTACGTGGTTGATTATAAAAGGGAGGATTTGCTCCCAAGATTCAGTAGATTGGTTGATGAACATGTGAATTGTTTGAAACAAACGAGTTAGTATGAGGGAAGGTAAGCTGATGATGATTAGACTGTTTATTTCGTAGGAACCATTTTTTCGCTAGATCTCAGTTGTCGTTAACTTAGATTTTGTATATTTGTGTAATTACTGGGTTTTAAAACTGCCTTTGAGAGCTGCAGCTGCTGCAACAGAAAATAGTCCCATTTCAACAGTGGTACAGTGCTACAAGCACTGCAGAGATTTGGCATCTGGGGGAGTGGAGAAACTTACTTCTTTATTGCAAGGAGAAGGTGTCGTCGTACATGTAGATGAAACAGTCTCATTAAAGATAAAATACAACTATGTTCATGAACACGTGACTGAATTATACGATACTTCTTTATGAAAAGGATTCGTCGACAGGATAGCACATAAAAAGTCAACTACATGAATACTCATTATCATACCATTGATAAAACGAGGATTTATAATACACACACACAGGTGAGCGGAAAGGATATAACTCCTTATCATCTCTGGGATATAACTGATCACTGAGTAAATCACACCAGTGATTTTATGGATCCTAATACGGGGGCCTACACTAATTCTACCGAAAGACTTAGAGGTATTAATGAATCTCAAAAGAATGTTATCTGTCGTCATTTAGATAGATACACGTATTGGGAGTGGTGTAACTATACTGTTGTTACTCCTATGGAAAACTGGGAGTCACTTTTATCACATGTGAGATAAATGTATCCTCTGCAACATTTTTTCGCTCATAAATATATGCATTTCAAAACCAAAAATGACCTCTTTCATGTGATTGGTGCGTTCACGGTCATCCAATGATGGTAGTTACTGGCAATCTAAGTTTAACTAGCCAATTAACTCTGAGAAGTGCTGAGTATCGGGGGGAGGGGGTACAACAACTTGAACAAAAAAGGTTAGGCCTGAAAGATCAATGTGCTGACTTACTTGCAGTAAACTGCTCAATTCAACGCCTTTCACATCGTTTAGCTTGGCACTGATTAACAGCGAGGCGGAAGCACATAGCCTCCTGTTCAATTTGGTCACAAACAACTGCAAATATTAAAAATAATTGTTCAAGTTTTAACGTAGAAAAGTAATGTAGGGGCAAATATTGAACAGTAAAATGAGCGAAACATGCTTCAAAAACAAATATATATAACTAATTTCTCTAAGATACTACATTTATCTCTTTAGAGTACATTGGTGTTTGTATTAAACTTCCCACGGCCACTTACGACCCTGGGATCCTATTGGTTGGTGACTGTTTTAACTAAGCAATGCTGTAATTAGTGTCCCTCAAGGCCATTTAAGGCATATATATAGATAAAGCATATATCAACTCTTTTCCCACATTGCCATTTCACTTTGTTCTCTGTAACGTTGCTATAGCTGGTTCCGAAATAACTCTTAAGCTTTCATTTCCTTTGTCACACGATCTCTTGCATTTCAGGCTTAGATCCACGCCAAACTCGTCGTTTCTAGATCAGGCCCGAGGCATCATGTCACTCAATGGTCACCTAGGTGTATGTCCAAAATCCACCTGCATTTCCTTATATATATATATATATATATATATATATATATGTATATAGGTGTCTGTTAGACTCCCCTTGCGGCTTTCCTTTCTAGCTGGCCATCTCATCTTCAATATCTTACGAATAAGCCAGCTGTTGGTAAACGTCTGTAGCTGGCTGCTGGAATGGCTTTTGATGACACGCTGTCCAAGTCTCTTCTGTGGCTTACTGAAGCCTGGATTTGACATTAATGCTGAATATCCTAATCTGGATAGCTCAGTGGTAACATCTCTAGCTGCAGCACTCACTGGGTGACACGGGTTCGAATCTCACAATGGGGAGATGACTTCCATCCTTCACGATTGCAGATACACCTTATTTAGCGGTGAGTGGCGACAAGCACGAAACCCAAGTCTGCGTAGAGCTTCCTGACTCTATTGCTTCAAACAATGTAATAACAACACATTTGAACCTTGTTGCTGCTTATGCTGAATGCATTAGATCAATGCACAGATTTCAGAGTAATGAAGCTTAATCTTGATTTCCCGATCCATGGCTGGCTTTGATACTCTCATCTGTGTGACCTGCCTGCTGAAATGCTGCTGCCCAGAGTTCAGGCAAGTCAAATATGTGACTTCAGTCAAATCCCTCTCGTTGATCGTGATGACGTTTATTGTGGTTAGTTGTTCATCTTAATCATCATCTTCTTTGTGTTCACTTGAATTCATGTATTGGCTGAATTCACTGACAACTTATTGTTTTCCGTTTGTAAATATTCGAATCTTTCTTGCATTAGATATGAATCACCCGCAAGATAAAGAAGCCTTAGTGTTTCTTTTTGTCGGTCCACAGTATTCCAATCTCCCTACGCAAGCATCTACGGACAAGGATGTAATAAGATTGATGCAATTTTCCATTGATATTCTGTTGCCAAACTACATGACTTCTCAATATAAGAGAATATAAAGGATTAAATAAATGCGCTACCTTGAGTATTAACTTTTCAAAAAGTACGTGAGCATGTGCAGCGATCCACAAGTCCAACGAAAGCTATAAGAAAAAAGTTTATTTCAAATTAATCACTGTTCATACAAAAAACTAGTAATATAATTCAAACTACTGATAAAACACATAAGTAGTACAAAATCGCGCCGTGAATTTTAAAGAGAGGTTCAGAAAAAATGTGATCATTGATTTATTTCATCTCATTTTATCTCATGTTCTCACCTTCCATACATTTGCGTATCGTATGTTGACTTCTCTTTCCTTAATTATTTGTTCTTGTTTCTGCTTAATCTGTAATTTTACTGCTACTTTTTGTGGTTACGCGATGGTAATCATAATATGTTGTTTTACGACTGCGATTTTGTTTGTGTAAGTCGAGTTTATTTCTCACAGTGTTATACAGTAATATTTACTGATGACGTTTCGAGCACAATTTATCGCTCATAATCATATCAAGTTAATCACACGACTTCGTGTGTGATTAACTTGATATGATTATGAGCGATAAATTGTGCTCGAAACGTCATCAGTAAATATTACTGTATAACACTGTGAGACTCTATCAAAATAAAATTTACCCATAATGGAATTACACTCTACCACAGTGCCCAAGTTTTTTTCTTATATCGAAGTTATTTCTGACTTAGGGGAAGTGTTAACACAGTTTTGATCCCACCTTGTTGGGAATATTCTACATGAATTTAGAAGTGATAGATTGTCTGTGTAGGTAGCTGTCTAACGGCACTGTGGAGGTGAGGAATTTTGACTCTTTGGTGCTATTATTATTATTATTGAATAGAACCAAATATTCATTTACAGCAGGACGACGAAAGTTGTTTCCTGAGCTCAGAGTACAATGAGGCGATTGTGCGGTCGTGCATCAGAAATGAGCTTCACAGTATTCTCACATTCTATCTACCATCTATCATTTGTTATAGGATAGGGCGAGGAAATACTTATTTTTCAACAAGATCGTTATCTCTGGCTCTACTCTAATATATATATATATATATATATATATATATATATATATATATATATATAGCACCTTTAGTACAATATGCATACATTACACATGCCTCCAGCTGACGTCACTGGAATCCAATTGAAGAAACCAGACTAATCTGTATGTTCAGGATAAATTCATACAGCCACATTCCTTACTTTGACCATAGTTACATGAATGTATAAACCTGATTAGTACTTCACCCTCCTCCAAAGGCTTTTTATTTAAAGTTGTAATTGATCGAAGTGTTTGATTATTTTTTCTGACTACGTCATCTTTAACTACCTATTACGACTTGAACACTGGCTTATTCTTTAATTACTCTTCAATTTCTCCAAAATTATGCATTATACAATCCACTTGTTGTAACCATTTCTACCCTTTAATCGTGTGTGTATATTAATTTTCTTCGTCAATTACCACCCCCACCGTTTGACATGTTGATAGTGACTAATTATTGTTAGCAAATATATCAGTGCCGCTTGAGTGGTAAAATGTTTTGTGTTGTATTACGAATTCTAAACACTTATTTTAGTCAGACAGTGACTACACGAATTTTTCACTGACTGGAACAAATGTCGCTCTGTTAGACAGAGTATGATACTTTGCCCGGCCTTTCAAAAGCGATTCCAGCAGCACAACTGCCTTCGCCCACCAACTCAGCGACAGCATCGAAGTCCCGCAAGAAGCTCCGTATGTCGTCGTCTTCTTCGAAAGCATCCGGTAGTAGGATCGTCACTGTCTGGAGGCAGCGACACACAATGTAACGGAAGCCGACAAGAGATATGGTAGCGGAGACTTTTTCATTAGCCGAAAAACACCACATAATGATATATTTTTAGCCACATTTATGGTCAGCTGTTAGTAAACTTTCCTGATTGGTTAATGATTTTCTGAAAGTTAAAACTGTTCTGATTATTTCTTGACCACAACGTAAGCAACTAGACCCAGATTCGAGAAATAAACACTTCTACTTCTCTTCTAGCCACCAACTTAAAATGTTGTTTTCAATTGCGGCTACTTCCTATCCAAATCTGCGTCTATATACTGTTAATAAATCTTGAAAATGGCACAAATAACAGTATTAATCTTTAGTAGTCTCAGGTTTAGCCAAGTGTAACACGGCAGAATAACCAGGATGCAACTTCCAGTCAAAGTATACCATCATCAATCTGAAATCACTTTGGAAGCATTCTGCACTCCGTCTAAGCATAAACAAAATTCGGATTCTATTCAACACAAATGTTAAGTCAGTCGCTTCTTTTTATGAGTCAGAAACTTGGCCAGGGCGTCACGAAAAGCATTTCCAACAAACAGCTGCAGACTTCTTTCAAGAGCTGTCTTAGCAACAAGAAGGTATGGTAACAAGCCAATCAAGAACCCTATGCCTCAACAAAGATGTAGGAGGAAATGGAGATGGATTGACATACGCCTCTAAGGCGACCGTTGAATAACATCGCGACCAATGTAGGCCATCTGTCGAGTGGAGCCCCGATTGGGAAAGGACGAGGCTGGCGTAGTTGTCCCGATGGTGGTATGGAGGAAGAGGAGGAGGAGATGACAGACCATAGGCAATCGTGGAGCTGACCAACTAAAGAGGACAGAAGAAAAAAGACACAATGGAGACGTGCTGTTGAAGCACTATATTCCACTCGGGAACAACAATTTCCAGTCGTGAAGTTAAAAAGTATGTAGGTAGTTCCTGCTGTTTACATATGAGCAACAATGCAATACCATAAAGACTATGCATAGATACTTCTTATACGATGGAGAGGGTGTGATAAATAAACAAATATATTATAACATGAGAATATAGCAGTCAGAGAATCACTAAAACAACAGAACTTACTCTTTGAACAATTTGTACTAATACTAATTTTATACTGCGTAGTTTTGTGAGCGTTATCTGGATAAATGGAAATCTTTCATGAAACTCTCGATTCACTTCACGTTTACGTTCATTTGGACGAACATATCCCAAAATACTGGTCTGTGTGTGTGTGCATTGAAAAAAATATATAAGAAAGAAGGTAAGCAAGCGTATGCAGTGGTTTGCGATAATAATAATAATAGTTTAATTCTGAACAATTTTTATATAATATACAGAATTTTCAGCGGACTTTATTACATGATATCTCTTCTTCGTCCACCATCTTCAAATAAAAAATAATAATCGACTGACAGTAGATCATGTGACACAGTTCTGTCTATCTTCTTTTCTCTCTTTCGAAAAATACACAACGACCATTTGTTGAATGACAATTATGTTAACAGTTCAGGAGTACATTTTGTTTGTGAACGCAGGACACCCCTGAGGAGTGGTCATCTCGTATGTCGGGATAATCATGCCATCCATCGAGCTGGATAATGCTTTTTCACCACATGTTTAGTAGAAACTTGAGAATGAGAGCAGGTTGCAGGCGTTTAAAATACTCACCAGAGTACTGGTTTTAAACAAAGTGAATACGAGGAATTCTATATAAAATATGTTGACAGAGGTTTTTCCGTTAGCCCAAGAGTTTTGAGAAACCCACCGGTAAGTGAATTATAGTTAACACGACACATTCATCTGAACTTTAAATGATAAATATCAATTCACTGATCCAATTTTTAGAAAGAAAATCGTTCTGACAACTCTCCTCAACTCAGAGAACACAACTAAATCAAAATCGTCCACTTGAACTACTAGAAACCTTCATTAATAAGCCATTTCTATATATATATATATATATATATATATATATATATATATATATGATTCTGGGAAAATGACCACTAATGCAGTGGATCAAATGTCGACGTCAGCAATAATGCATCATATCAAGCAATCAGCATGACGATGCAATGAGTAGTGTTCATTAATAAATCAGCATAGAAAAAATTACAAAACCATTGAATGTCATGAATGTATACAAATAATAAATACGCAAATTATGAACTACAAAAAAGAACACAAGAGCTTGACCTAAAAAATAGCAAAAGAAACACTGTCAAAGAACTGAATCGGTTAATTATATGCATTTAACCCAGAATGGAATAACATACATATTTCGAATAAATAACAAACAATTGTAACAAGTTTTTTCTAAAATTCACTGATATATATAGGCGAGCTAGAACAGCGCAGTGGTAACGTTTCTGACTGCAGCACTCTCTGGGTAACACGGGTTCAAATTTCAGGAGTGACATCGCCCAGGTTATTACTAACTGGCTATTTTTCTTGTCGGTCTCATACCCGGGAAAAAGATTGAGGGTTGGGTGATTGAGGCTTGCAACCTCGTCCCTGGGAAAATCAATCAAACTGCTACAGGAACCTCAATCCACCGGAGAAATATTAAAAATACAAATAACACACCTATTTTCGGCTGGAATCGGAGAGGCGAAATGACACATAGAGAACGAATGAAAGCCTTCGGAAAGCTAGTCGGCCAGCTAGTCTATGTGTCTTCTCTCGATGAAAGGAAGAATAAGAATGAGGACGTGGAGTGTTCGTACAATGTACGAGACTGGGGAGGCTGCCCAAGTAGCCAAAGAAATGAATAAATAGAGTACAGAAGTGTTCGGAGTCTGTGAAAGCATGTGGAATGGATTTGGACTATCGGAATAGCCAACTAGAGAGTCAGTAATCTACTCCTGTCAGCCACCCGGATGACAACCATGAGCACACTGAGGCAGTGAGTGTCTGTCATGATGTCACCAGTTGCAAGCAAAGCCCTGATGCAGTGGGAACCAATTTCATCCCGCAGGATGATGACAGCAATATTCAACTCGAAAGATAGGAAGAAAAGTTACAACTATACAATGCTAAGCACAGTGCTACAAAAAACGCGGAGCAGGAGAAGAAGGAAGATTTCTATAAACAACTGCAAACAGTAATAGACAATATCCCAAATGGCGAAATCGAAATCCTAATGAGCCAAACTGGGGGCAGACAAAACAAGAAGAGAACTCATTATAGGTTGAGAGGCTCCCGCTCGGCGAAATGAATAACAATGAAGAAATCTTTGTAGATTCCTGTGCCTTTAATGATTTGGTGATTGGAGGTGGCGTATACACACAAAAGGCAACACTACAGATGGACTACGACGATTCTGTCGCACCAGAGACATAGCAATTAGTTGAAAGAAATTCGCTTCCACCAAATAGCATCACAAACTTATACATATTGGTCATTTACATACACCACCAGTATTCTTGAGACAGACTGCAGAGAACATATTATAAATACATAAAAAGAGAATGATGTTGAGTAGCATGAAGATTCCACTTGAAAACATACTTTCTCATTATTCCATTGGGTACTCCCAGTGGAAGAACATAAGACACATAGACATTCCACTCCTTTCTCTAGATTCCTTTCCAGATGTCTATAAGATTGTACGTAAGATTTCATTTTTTTTCCTCACATCCTCTCCTTCATATCACCCTCAGGCGTCCACTCCTGTCGTTTTCCATTCGGGTTCTGCTGGACGACCTGGTGCGTGTTGTCAATCACTGGTCTTCTCACAGCGTACCGTTAAATCCATACCTATTTCTTTCTGTATATTCGTCCACTGAGAGCTTCTCGGTTATTTCTCTGGAGTGCTGAGTTCCTTGTTGTTTATCCTTTCTGGCTAGATGGCCACCTGATCTTCAGGTGTTCAGTCAGTGAAGGTAGCTGTGGCTGCAAGTCGTGTAGACTGTAGCCTGATGACAATATTACTTGTGATGCGCCAAGCCTCTGAAACATATACAAGCACAAGTTTTGATACTAGTGGTGAAGATCCGGATCTTTTTTTTACTTATGCTGAGTGTGTGTCTGTCCTACTTTTTCCTATCCTGCCTTTGAAATCCTCATCTGTGCCGCATGTAATTGAAACTACTCTACATCCTAAATAGGTGAGAGAGATGATCTTCCTCAAATTTCTTCCATTGATGTTTCTTGTTGTTAGTTAGAAGTCTCACCCACCTGTTCACTTGAAGTCCTACCTACGCTAACTCATTCGTCCACTTGACTTTTGCATTAAAATTTTCAATATTTTGTGATACTAGACAAATCAGCCGTGAAGTTCAGATGTTCCAGTATACCCTCTTATCAGTCCAAGATACGCCCATCTTCTAGCTCCCAACAGTCTGCCGCATGATCTATACTCCAACACAAACAGGAATATGGTTGATGGTGATAGTAGGCAGGCAGTTTTATCTTACTCCTGTCTTCACTTCCAATGCCTTGCTGAATCTCTGCTTTATGATTTGCAGCATCATCATACAGCAGTGGAATGAGATTGATAAAGGTTTGGGGCACTGTGTTTTGTTGAAATAGTTTCCAAATCACTTCCGACGCCGACGTTTCGAAAACCTTTTGATGAAGTTAAGGTAGAGATTCGACTGCCACATTCTGGCTTTGTTCGATAACAGTGTGCGTAGCGCTACGATATGAGTTTCATATGTTTACACTTTTCCTGAATCCACATTGTTCAGTGCGAAGTTTTACAACCAAGGAATCTTTAGGTCTCTCTCCAGAATGACTCGACTTAATATTTCGCCTGAGGTGGAGAGGAGCATGATAAGGCACCAATTATTGAGAGGCTTTAGTCGCCCTTCTTTGATAGTTTGACTGAGGTAGACTTTCTTTGCAAACTTATTTATAATATTAGCTTGAGCATATCCGCTGCAGTCTCTGAATCAATTTCCAGTGATTCCGAAGGAGTTCCGACCAGTCCTGCTGTCTTATTTGCAGCTGGCAGCTTTCAGTAGGTTGACTGTATACACAACTTCAACTTTTATTGGAAGATTAGTGTCCATCCACTGCTAGTTCCGTGATTGCTGTTGATGGTGGAATTTCTAGACGAGTTGCGCAGGTGATGGTCGGTTCAGGATGTTTATTGTGGTAGGTTGCATACTTCTTTGTGTAGATATTCTGCGCGACCTGTTCACAGATGATCATGTGTAGAGTTACAATCTTCCTGAGTCCAGCTTCTTCCGAGCGGAATTTCGCATTCAAATCAGCATTCAGTCTCTCCAGGATAACGGCGGAATAGACAGGAGCATGATGCCCCACCTGTTTCTGTACAGGCTAAAGTCGCCCGTCTTTGGTAGCTTCACCTGGTGTAGCGTACTATGCCTCTCATAACAATGTGACCGACGACTGGAAAGCAAGCAAATGTTCACAAAAAAGGCTATTGCTACCATAAGTATCTTCCTACGGAAATGTAACTCGTTGGCTGAGGAATTCGACTTTCAGAAAAGGGATCCTCGGGTTTCAGTCCAGCACCACATAGTTTGACCTTCAAAACTAAATAGTGTCATCAACTCTCATACATTACTAGTTGTTGAATTAAAACAAAAAGTCTGGTGTACAGCATAGGCACCAAGAAGATGCACCACATATTATTAATCATAAAACAACACCATTGAGAAAAATAGGTAGAGAATGATTACAGTTCTTCATCCGGAAAGGAAGCCGCTATATTTAACAAGGCCGAACCACATCAATTATTGTCAGGACGGGGAGGAATGAAAGAAATCGCTGCACGTTTGCCATTGATGATTGCGATTCTCTTCTTCGCAACAACATTTCGAGCTATCTCTTCGAGCCCAACCAGGGAGTTATCGTGCACCACCAACCAATGATGCTAACCTTTAAGATGACAGTGGTAGCACACATGTCTGTCAAGTCACTGAAGCTGATGTTTCCGGATGATGATAACGAAACTCAATGAATGGTGATCATTTCTACTGTGTCAAAACACTCGCTGATGGACCTCCGAATCAATCACATGATGAGGATATTGCCTGCATACACTTGAGGAAGCAGATCTTTACTACCACCAACCCAGAATGTCATCGATGCCAAAGTTAAAGAGAAATGGAAAGATTGGTTGGGCAACCCTATGTAACCCTTTGGTTATGAGAAGTACTCATGCGATTCCGCTTAGGTAATATGTAAGCTGACAGAATATAAAAAAGGGGAATAATAATAGTCATCAGTGGATTATGTACTGATTTCTAAGTATACTCACTCAGCTTAGCGTGTGTGCATGTTCCTTAAACATTTCTTAAAGCAATTTACTCTTTTGTTTCTAAAATGAAAATACCTATCAGCTGATTAATTAATTTATGCATAGAATTCAATAGATCCGTTCAATTTGAATAGTTTTATAGGTACACGTGTTGTTGTATTTAAGCGTTTTCCACACATGTGATGACATATGTATGCATACCAACAAATCTATGCTTATTTAATTCAAATTCGACTCTTCCGTTGGCTGATTGGCTTGAAGTGTTCGGCCTCAAGTTGACATGTCGGCTCCGTATGCTGATGCTTCGACAATGCCTAATTACTAAACTCGAAGTAAATTGGTGGATGGTGACTAGCAGTGGAATCCAGGATGCATTATTTGGGACTCATCCACTGGATGTTCCTATATTTCCCAGAGACTGATGGTGTTCTCAGCAGGTGTATCCAGATGACGAGTAGTCCCAAGTAGGACGGAATACGAATCCTGGATCTACTGCTAGTCAACATCCATCAATTCACTCTAAGTAAAATCTATGAAAGGGTTAAAAATAAATTCGTGTATTTTTGGTTTTGTCAATGGTATTTCTATTCTACCCCTTTTTATAATCCTATATCTGAAATAAGTAACCTATACTCGCCTCGTGTCATGATGGTCCTGGACTTTGATTCTCAGTAGGGTTATACTGGTTGCAGCAAACTATGACGAGATGGTTGGTTGTCCGTTTAGTACGTACTCCCTGGTTTTCGATGGTTCTCTCTAAATGACATCCTACTGCTACGCGTTCCTAACAGACAGGAAAAGAAAATAAACCCCAAAAACTAACTTACCAAATAATTTGGTAGTTTTAGGACACGTTTTCCAGTTGCCACAAGAAGTTCAGGGTCATCTAGGAGGAGTGGATTGTAACTTATCAGTGGATCTGGATAGGTGAGCATTGTAGAAGGCCAGGTGGATAAAATATTATTTACCAACGAAGTACGGCTTGTACTGCCTGAACTAGAATAATTCCTTTGTATATTGAAGGATTTCGCAGTGCGATACCACGATGTACTAATACTATTTGTTGAATGCATGACAACTGTTGAATGATGTGACGGACCACGTTTGGCTACCATACAAGCTGTAAAAACAATTAGAGAAACATTTATTCCCCCATTATGATCCTTGAAACAAAAAGCAAAAACAACAAATGTTTGTGCAGAATAATAATAATATGATGAAACCATGTTATGTATTTGGTCGTCGAATTATCTTTCAGCTACCTTTACAACGTAAAAGTTGATTATTATGTAAATAAATGCACACAGAATTTTGTCAAACTTGTAATTGATCAGCATGATTTTTGTTAACACAGATACCTACACTTTATTAAACAATGTTCACAAGTTGCATTTTTGTATAATTTATGAAGGACGAGGTCAAGGTTGAAACGAGGTTGTGAAGCAGTTGCATCGATTGAGTGAGATGGTTAGGACATCTATTACGCATGCATGCATCCCTAGCCACCCATCCATCGATCGACTTCCCCGACTGACGGGCAATGTAAGCTTAGCTGATATAAGATGGATGGATGGATCAGGTCGGGAAAGAGCTATCTAACTAGCACGTAGTGGTGGTCGAACCAAGACATTGCTGGCTTCATCAGTCAGTCAATAACATCAATAACAGTCAGTTAGTTTAAGCCGACCAGCCACTTAAAGAGGTGTAGACTGCCTTCCGGGATGGACGGTAAGGACCAATGAAGGCTGAAGACAACTGGTGATATGACTGGCTCAAAATCCTCACTCTCAATGATATCGCTGATGCATTCACCCTTGCTCATTTGTCATATCTAATAAAACTATGTTCTTTTCCTTCCATATTACAATTCTTTTTTCCTCACTCCCACTTGTGCTTATTATCTATTCTTGGAATCTCTTTTGCTTTGTGTGCTACATGGAGGGAGTGTGGTAGGTCGAACTGCTGCTGGACATCTGTGCAAAGTTCTGTGGTGTTGAAACCAGTCAGTCAGTTAGTTACATGTCTTATTAAATGGTTGGTAGGAGTCTCCTCTTGATTTTCTAAATGTTATTTAAGTAGTGGCGCTAGAGTGAAGAGCTGAAAAAACAATCATGCTGTGATCTGTGTTTTTGAACAACCCTTCACAATTGTGATATCGGTTTTTGGTACCGTCATCTGCCATTGAACTTATTATTATTATTACTATCATTATTGAAATAACTCATTTATTCATCTGCACTAAAAGAAAATCATATAAGTGTTCTCACATGAGATAGCATAATCATTTGCACATAAGTGCCATTTTGCGGCAATCGAATTGCGCGCGTAACTTTTTTAAAATCTACGCAAATGGTGTTTGCTTCATTTCAGCTATATTATATTTTCTTTATTTTTAGCTGTGCATGAAGACCACCAAAACCCAATGACGTTATCCTACAAAACACGTTAAATCGTGAAGTTAACTTATCATTTATTTTACTAATAAAAATGTTGATCTGGACTTCGTGTATCAATGATTTATGCCTTATGTTGCAAAAACTCGAGCAATTACAGGAAAAGAGAAAACACCAACACAAACTGGCCGAAGAAGCAGTCAGCGAAGACAGGACTTCACGTGAACATCGAGAATACTGAGATGACGAAGATAATCGACCGACCCAGAAATCAACAACAACAACCAGCACTAATCACAATCAACGGGAAAAATTTGAAAGAGGTAACTTTCAAATACAGGGTGAACAGATGAAGATCTCGGTCAGCCAGAATCAGAAAGGTAAGGTAGCACACCTTCATCACTCTCAAATCAGTTTGAAAATCTTCTGCACTCCACTGCAGTATACACAACAAGATTCGGATTTTACTCAACACACATGTTAAGTCAGTTAGTTGTTTCACTATATTATGGGTCAGAAACTTGGCCAGTGCTCGTCACCAAAAGCAGCTGCAGACTTTTATCAACAGCTGCCCACTTAGCTGGTTAGCTCCATATTGAAGATCAAATGGCCGGTCAGCTAGAAAGCACTGCCAACAAGAAACTCTGGGAACAATGCAATCATGAATCTACTTCCCAACAAATATTTCAAAGAAAATGGAAAGTGTCTTGGGAATACTTTGAGGAGACATTCGAATGATATCACGCTCAATGCAGTCCATCACACAGGTGGGAACCGAGTGGGAAACGATGAATAGCGTGTGGGCCGGAGAATGACATGAAGTAGATCGTTTGGCGAGGAAGAGATGAGACACTATGGACAATTGTGAAGCGAGTCAGTCAGCTGAAGAGGACAGCAGAAAATAGAAGAAAGTGGAGATTCGGTGCTGTTGACGCCATATGTTCCACTCGGAAACCAAGAGAACAATAATAATGTCTTGTTATTCTGATAGTCTTATCTACGTGATTAACAGATATTTTCTTTGTTGCGAGACCTTTTTTTTCTAATATTTGCTGTATATGCAAATAGCACATTCTTTCTTGTCGCTTTATTTAATTATTCATGAATACATTATTTTTTGCTGACCTCAAGTTAGTTATTGCACCAAACATTTTGTTATAAAACAATCATGCCTAAGAGTGATATTGATTACACATGTCTTGATGAATTCACAATTTGTCCTTTACCTTATGTTATTGGCAATGTTGTGTACCTTCTTACCAATGGAATCATCATCTTTTTTTCGCACTAAGTGTATTGTGTAAGTGTATTAGAGTTTTGGAATTGTGACACAACATTGTTAATTATTATTATTGTTATTGTTCCCTTAGGTTCCAAGTGGAAAATCCAACTTCAACAGCACGTCCAAACTTTGTTATATTATTCTCTGCCGTCCTCTTTAGCGTGGTCCACGACTGCTCATAGTCTCTCATCTCCACCTCGCACGATCTACTCCTCGACTTAACCCTCGAACCTCAGCCTTGCTCGTCGTTTTTCGATTGGAGATACGTACGAACACAGTGAAGGTCGATCTTACAAATCATAATAAAAAGGGTCGCTTTATACATTCGGCTATCTGAGCTCAATCTAAAACCATCCGAACAACCGTCTAGTGTCTGCATCACTTCGACACTTGCTAACCAACATACAATACTGGTTGATATGAGAATGGTATCCAACTGCTTGTGACAATAAATCAGTAGTATATAAAAAAACCAAACGTGCTTTACAGAAATGTTCATAGCTAAGTCTACAATACAGTAGAGTGTATGTGTCTATTCATGTTCAGGGAGTTTATGCCGACCGGATGATAAGTAGAACTCACAAACAAAATTTGTCATGAAACACCAACAGAAAGATATGATGCACTCAGTTACACAATCAATTTACTAATAACCACACACACACACACACGCACCCCCACTTACCTTCAGCAGTGAAATGTCCAGAAGAAGGCTCACAAGTAGGCTTTAAATCTGTTATGGTATGTGATAAGAAGGAATCAACAGTGGTATCAGGCAAATTCGACACCAATGATGTTGACATGGTAGACTGCACTGGTTTTAAACTATTCTTTGATGAGGCTGAACTTGGCTGAATTAAATGAGCATATGAGACAACCTAGATGTATGTGGGCGGAGAGACAAATTGCAGATAAATATTGGCGGAATAACAAAAAAATGTGCTGCTTTTGACAAAGAAAAATGCATACATGAAGTTATCGACAACTTCAAGCGGTTCATCTGAAGCGAGAGTGAGTGCAGTTACACAGGCTCCTGCAATTGTGACGACAGTATCTCGCACTTAGACAACGCAAAGAACATGCCATATACTTACAGATACTGATCGCCACCAACTGTTTCAGAGTGATTTGGACTGTCTGCACGCCATATATCGCACATTTGTAAGACAATATCGTCTGCATATTCTCGAGGTCTAAAATTCTTTCTCCAAGATGTAGATCCCCACCAACTTTACCACCACCACCACCACGCAAATCTTTCACAGCTAACTCCAAGATGTCATTAATGGCAAAGTGCAAGAGATGATATTGTCAAGTCTACTACAAAATCTACACTAATGTGATATTCTTTTCACTTAGTGTCCACATCATATGCACACCATAGTTCAAGAAAATATGTTTAGTTGAATAACGTAAGTGTAATAATGATCTGTCTCGCTTACCCGAGATCCTGGCTTTTAAATCACACACACACGCACACACACAGAGTCATGAATGGTACTCAATAATAAATACATAACCTGTCAAGACAATAAACATGAAAACCTAATTTGACAGGCTGTACGTCGGTGGTTCAGTGGCGGAACATTGGCCAAACACATGCCACATATGGTTCGAGGTTTGATCCACGGCCGATACACTCCCCACTAAAGCTCGCTCAGCCAACCGGTAGTAAGGCCGGTGGCAAAAAAGGGCAATTTCGGGATACGTGAGGCTAGCAACCCTCCTATCCCGTAAAAAAATAATACACCACTGCAACCACAACTTCATAGCTCTTTATTTTTAACTCCTATGTGTCCCACTGGGAACGTAACGGGATAAAACAAGAAGAGTAAAGTATAATTAGTACGTCTAGGAGACCAAGATCGGAACTTCTGTGATGATTGTATAAATTGATCCAACCTATTTTTTAAAGCCTCCAGGAACTTGAAGATATGTATTTTTGTTACATTACTAGGAAGCGTATAAAAATGCACAAAACAAATACTCTAAATAAATCCATCTTCTTACCTCACCATTCACAGGTCGAAATGAACTAAGATTTGACGGTATATAAGTAGAATTACATTGTGAAATAGAATCCCTGACATATTGGGTAGAACCGGATGTTAATAATAAAGATGACTGAGGCAAACGGACAGCACTTGAAGATGAACAGAAGTGTTCGACACTTGTTGTCATACCTTTGTGAGAATTACTGGGAAGAAGCTGACGACGTCCAACTCTACATTAAAAAAGGCGATTGAAAATATAACAGAAAAAACAAAAATACTGAACGAAGAAGTGTAGAAGTAAGTAAAACAGAATAGCAACATTGATTGAAAGTAGGTCATACCAAAAATACCTGACTGACTGATACTGGCTCATACATCTTTCATCAGCCATAAGTGCTATATATTCTTTTTTCGCTAGTAGGGGGCGATGTTAACAGAGGCCTGACCACCCCACCAGGTTAGAGTCAGCAGGTAGTGTACGGCTAGAGCTCAGGTCTAGCAGGATTGACAGCCATACATCAATCGTGGACCCTATATGCAGTCGAAACCAACTGGAAGCGAGTTCAAGGTCTTTCAAGCAGCTTAACTTAATGGTTTCCGAGATGTCTTAACATAAATACTTTCCAAATAGTGAAATCAAACACCTGACTGGTAGACTGGTTTCAATTTAAGAATTTCGACAAAAGGGTAGCAGTTCAAATCACCATATGAAAACGTAAGAGTTTTCATGAATATAGCAGATAGCAATGAATGAATGAATCTACACCATCACTGACAACGATTTTGATCAATATCACTCATTGGTAGCCAACTGCCATTCGTGTTTTAGAATACCGAGGACCCCATCAACAAGGCAGCAGTCTACACCTACCTGCGTGGCTGGCTCAAACTGACTGTCAAAGCTTTTATGGACTACATTAATGGCTGAGTGATTATTATTATTCTCTTGGGCTCCAAGTGGAACATAGGGCGTCAACAGCACCGAATCTGCACTTTCTTCTATTTTCTGCTGTCCTCTTCAGCTGGCTGGCCTGACTAGCTCCACATTTGTCCATAGTCTCTCATCTCTTCCTCCCCAAACGATCTCCTTCATGTCATTATCCGGCCCACACGCCATTCATCGTTTCCCACTCGGTTTCCACCTGTATGATGTACTGCACTGAGCGCGATGTCATTCGACTGTCTCTTCAGCGTGTTCCCAAAAGAATGTCCATTTTCTTCGAAATATTTGTTGAGGAATGGGTTGATGATTGCTTTGTTCCCAGAGTTTCTTGTTGGTAATTCTTTTTCGCTGACCGGCCATTTCATCTTCAATATGGAGCCAGCCAGCGAAGTAGGCAGCTATTCATGAAAGTCTTCAGCCTAAGGCTTAAGTCACCCTTCTTCGGTAGTTTGACAATGTAGCCTTCGTTCAATCAGTAGGCACATTTCCTTCCTCCCACACACACACGCACACTGATAACTTAGTAACACCATAAATAAAGCCAACAAATAAGATAGAGTCTATTAACACTTTACAGCAAACACTGTTGAAAGTATCATTGATATAAGAATAAAACTTGGGCACTGTGGTAGAGTGTAATTCCATTATGGGTAAATTTTATTTCGATAGAGTCTCACATGATTATGATATCATTATGAGCAATAAATTGTGCTCGAAACGTCATCAGTAAATATTACTGTATAACACTGTGAGACTCTATCAACATAAAATTCACCCATACTGTTGAAAGCAAACTATATGAAACTAGTTCTCTCAACAAGAGAATAAATAAAACCGCACCTCTGTATTTAAACACGCTCTCTCTCTCTCTTGCTCCTTTACGTTCCAAGTGGAACATAAGGCTTCAAGCGATTAAATATTAGTAGTTGTATTGTTTGCTTTTACGGGGTGGTGTCGTTAACCTCACAAACAACCTCCTTCTCTTTCCAAGGTTCATTATTACTAGTAGTCGGCGGCCCTAAACTGACATAACCTTTCTACACTTCCCGGAAAGAATGGAAGTGAAATTTTGAAATTACCCCCAATACTATATTATTTCTTATCTACACTAGCAACTGGCCCCATTCAGGTAGGTGGTAACCTTAGTGGATTCTAGTGGGAAGTAGCAACCAACGAGTGGAGTACAGCAGGTCGAGAGTGAAGACAAATACTTGCCACCGATGACATTAGCTTGTTGGTGTTCACGCTGTATCGTGTATAAATTGACAAATACTGGAATTCATGGACTAGCTCGATAATGAGGAGACGGATCCCAGTGACCGATATATGGTCTACGAGTTCACTCGCTCTGTATAACCGAAAGGTGGTGGGGTCGAGCTCCGGTGGTGAGTGCGTACTGCTGAAAAGCCTCAAGCACCGCACAACGGAAACAACTGTTTGGTAGTACTCCCAGCTGGTCTTCCAATGGTGTTCTCTAGCTGATGTTGCCAGCTCACGACTAAAACCTCTATTCAGTACGAATTGTCTCTGAAAACTGGTTGAATTTATTGATTATAAAATTTGAACAAAAACTACTGAATACTATGTTCTGAGAAGCTGAAAACTAATATAAATTACAAAATAAACATTTTATATTTTACCTGAAATGTATCCCTGTTGTTTTTCTGTGATACGGTAGAATTGAGAACAAAGTAGAAGTTGTTCCCCCGACACCTAAAGATCGTAATCCAATCCTAATAAAGAAAAAAATAATAATTAAGAGTAAAAAGAAGAAAATTATCAACCGAAACACAACACGGATTATTTGTCTCAATGAAAAATAATAAGTTAGGAATCTTAAATATTAAGACGACAAGATAAAGAGCAGTCACTGCATCGACAATAGCCTTTATTTTAAAACAAACTGTAATCGCACCCGAGCTTGCACAAGCTGACTCGAATCTTAAATATAGCAAAACAACTGGTCCCGATGGGATAACATAACAATAATACCATTCAGCCACTGGGACCGGATTTAATGGACCATGAATTTTAACCTCTACCGATTCGTGATTTAGCGCGACCACCAACTGATATTAATAATGATAATAATAACACCAATAGCTTTATTCTGAACGATATTTATATGATAAACAGAATTTTCAGCGAACTTTATTACATGATATTTCCTTTCCCTCCACCAGCTTCAAATCAAAGATTAATTGACTGACAGTAGATCGTGTGACACAGTTCTGTCTATCTGACCTGAAGCGTAAATCAATCCATTATTGTGATATCTCTCCTGTTTTCCCCTTCATGAAATACACAACGACATTTTGTTGAATGAGAATTATGTTAACAGTTCAGGAGTACATTTTTTTGTGAACGGAGGACACCCTTGAGGCGTGGTCATCTCATGTGTTGGGATAATCATGCCATCCATCGAGTTGGATAATATTTAGTATTATTATTATTGTTTCCTTTAATTCCTAGAGGAACATAGGGCTTCAGTTGTGCGTCTCTATTGCGTTCGGTTCTCTGCCAGACTCCTCACCTGGCTCGAAGTCTGCCCAAACGCTTTCATCTCTTCACATGACCTCCTCCAAGTCACCTTTGGATGACCAAATCGCCCCTTCCCTTTCGGGTTCCACTCGAGCAATGGTTTGTCTAGTGATGTCACTCACTTGATGGTTTCCTCAGAATATAGCCAGCCAATCCATCTCCATTTCTTCCTGCCTATTTGTTTCACAATCGGTTCCTGTTTGGTTCGCCCCCAGAGATCCCTGTCGCTGATCTTTTCCGGCCATCTGATCTTCAGTATTGAACGAAGACAACTGTTAAGGAAGGTCTGCAGTTTGTTTGAGATGCTCTTTATGACGCGCTGGCCAAGTCTCTGATCCGTATAGTAGCACTGACTGACCTCACATTGGAGTTGAAAATCCGGATCTTATTTTTGATGCTGAGTGCTGTTGACCTCCACACAGACTTGAGAGTAGTGAAAGCTTGCCTTACTTTCCCGATCCTCGCTTTGATATCCTCATAAGTTCCTCCCGTAGTTGAAACGATGCTTCAAAGGTCGGTAGGTAGTTAAAGGAGGTTGCTTTTATCAGATTTCTCCCATTTATGCTGATCGTTGTCGGTTGTTGTTGTTCTTGTCCAGGACTCTTAATCACCTCTGTTTTCTCTATTTTTATTTTATTTTTGATTTACAGCTTGATTGCACACCATATTTTCAGTACAAGTATGGAATTTTCAGCGTGGATATCGGTAGCCCAAATTTACAGGCCGACCATAGATATCGGGTGTGCGCCGGCAGGGGATCGAACCCCGGACCATCTGAATGGTCGGCGAGAGTCCTAAGCACTGTGCCACCGACGCACAGTGTTTACCTGAAGTCCTATCTTTGATGCTTCTTCTGCCAACTTGTTTCTTTTTGCTTGCATATCTTTAAGTTTGTGGGAAATCAGACATATATCATCGGCGAAGTCCAGATCCTCCAAGTTTTTTGTGTGGGTCCATTTTATGCCTGTTTCCTCATTGTCCGCTGTTTGTCGCAGGATAATATTTAGTAGAATCTTGTAAATATTTTGAATACTCACTAGAGCAAATGATGATACTATTAGAGGTCATTTTTGTACGGGATTTAAAGAAAGTGAGTCAGAGAAACTTAATGCAAACTATATTGATGGAGGTTTGTTTCGGTAGCTGGCCACCGCCGCAAGCCCCTACGCTTATTTACATAATTACAACGAATAATATTAAACAACTAGACAAACAATCCTCCAACATGTGAAAGATTATTATTACTACTGCTGTAATCGCTATTTTATGTCGACAATAAGTCTCTTTAAATGGCTAGCTAAACATTTGTGAAATAATAACAGCTGACAGTTAGTTAGTTGTGTAGAAAGTGCACAGGTGGCTGCTGTATACTGACTGTTGTGCCCGACATCATTTACACACACATTATCCAAAAATAGTCTCTTGACAAAACGAATTAAATGAATACGGAGGAAACAGGGATTTGAATGACAAACATTTTCGCAAAATTTCTATTCATCATTCTTTGTTGACTTGAACTTTTATCTCCCAGTCTCCCATCCACCCACCCACCCAAAAACAAATCTCTTGTCATTGAAATGTCGCCACCCATGTGACTGATATACGCGAAGTTAACGCTAAGACAAGAGGAAAATGTAAAAGCCATCACATGACGATTGATTATAGGAAGGAATGGGAAGACAGACGTGGATGAAATGTCTTCAGACAGTATGGTGATCGCAACCAATTTGGTGTAAAAATGTAATTTAATTTTTTATGTCACGTGTGAGAGTATTTGTTTTCCGGATATTACACAATGCAAAGTAAAATTATTTTAATACAAAATATATAAGGCGAAATCTTTGAAGACAAAGGAACCTGCCTACTATTACCAACGATAATATTCCTAATTGTCATGGACAGGATTAAGTGGAAAAATGTGGTTGGGGAGCGAGAGAACAGGAATACGCTGGACTCTAGAAGATCTGAATTTTGCGGACGATTTATGCCGTTTAATGACACACGCACTGGAAGAATTACAGGGAGGAGAAAATCAACAAATTAGCTGAAGAAGTAGTCAGCGATAACAGGACTTCACGTGAACATAGAGAAGACTGAGGTGATGAAGATAATTAACCAACCGACCCAACAATCAACAACAACAAAAACCAGCATTAATCACAATCAACGGGAGAAATTTGAAAGAGGTTACTTTAAATTACAGGCGGAACGGATGAAGATGTCGGTCAGCCAGAATCAGAAAAGCAAGGTAGCACACCTTCATCACTCCGAAATCAGTTTGAAAATCTTCTGCACTCTACTGCAGTATAAACAACAAGATTCAGATTCTACTCAACACAAATGTTAAGTTAGTCAGTTCTTTCACTAGATTATGGGTCAGAAACTTGGCCAGTGCCCATCACCAAAAGCATTTCCAACAGTCAGTCAGCTGCAGACTTTTATCAACAGCTGCCTACTTCACTGGCTGGCTCCATGTTGAAGATCAAATGGCCGGACAACGAGAAAGAATTAGCACCAATAAACTATGAGGACACAGTAACTAACTATCGTGAGAGGAAGAGAAGAGAGACTATAGGTAAACGTGTACTCAGCTATGGAGGCCAGCAGAAAATCAGAACAAAGTGAAGATGTGGCGCTGTTGAAGGCCTATTTTGTACCAGAAACTCAAAGGAGTAACAGTAATAATCATAAGAAGAATATAATATATAATGTAACATGATGCACTCTACTCTGAAACAAATAGATCTTTCGCGATAGCAGCATGAACACATATATAGTGAGCGCAAATTTTGAAGACGAATGTTTTCGGTCTTTTTAAATATAACTGCTTTCTTCCTGCATGAAGTCCTTTAATCATTCTCTGCCTATTTTCTTCATATATTGTTGATCTATTATTATTATTATTATTGTGTAGCGCGTCTCCTTGGTGATCCCCATAGTGTACCAAGTCTTCTGCAATTTAATCTAAAAGAATATTTCTATGTATTACCCCGGTTAAGTGTGTAAAACATGTTGCTATTATTTTATCATAATTACCATAATTCAGCCCAACTAGCTCAGTGGTAACGTCTCTGACTGCAACACTCACTGGGTGGGGCGGGTTTAAATCTCAAAAGGGATATGAGTTGCTTCAATGTTGCAGATACGTCCTGCTGACTACCAAATAGGACGAAACCTCGTTCTACGTAATGCTTCCTGTCGATTGACTCCAACCAACTTATAACAGGCGAAATCGAAAGCGGGGTCATCTGTTGAAACTAACATCTAAGGGTCCCAGTGGCTTGACTTGCAACTGGAAAATCCTGAGTTTGGCCCTTGGAGGTGGATGCGTGCTATCGAATAGTCCCAAAATCACAGTGCCCCGGCGGTTTATCGGTAGAACGCTCGCCAACCACGCCAGATGTGGTCCAAGGTTCGATCCCCGGCCACCGACGTACTCCAAAACCTCGCTAAGCCAACCAGTGGTACAGCCAGTAAAGTGAGAAGGTTGGACCTGAGGATAGCAAGCACAAATCATAAACCCCGGCTACTGAAACTCCAAAGCTGTAGTTAGAAGCCTTATGTTCCACCGGGAACGTAAATGAATAAAAAAACGTAAGAAAAATCGGTTGTTATTGTAATCCTTTTACTTCGAAGTCGAGCGTAGGGATTAAAGCCAGAAGTTTTGAAGTTTCAGCAGCAGTGATGCTTATCTTTTTCGACGGGTTGGGGTTGATGGCCTCACTATTAAACCTTTCTTCTTCACATGTCTTACACTACAAGCGACGAAGCGAGCTGAAAGAAGTGAGTCAGCCCGGGGATCGACCGCCAAGCCAATGGTATGCTTCGTGGCCATTCTACTACCGGCGTCGATATGTTGTTAGACTATTCAAAAATATTTCAATAACTATATCCACAATATTCGTTCACTCATGGTCCTATGTACTTCTTCGAATGACTTTTAGCTACATGCCTTCTACCCTCAGTCTAAAATACTTTCTATATGTTTTTGGTCAAGTTCCGTTCTCTGACCTGGTTGACTTATTGCAAAGTTTTCGTTGTCCTTCACCTTCTACACTTTCTAATCGAATGGATGTCCATAATTGTCTAAACGCATCATTAAGAAGGCAAATGTGTCATGCGCAAACAATGACCGAAGAACTTTAAGAACGCGGAAATTCAGAAAAAATACACCTAACAATACCAAAAGTAA